AGATGGCGGAAGAGTAGGAGACCTGGATTTCATCTCCTCTCAGGAATTCAGCTGGATAGGGAACAACTGGTTTGTTTTTGCTTTACAGACACTACATTTCATGAACTTTCACATTCCCCTCTTCATGGTGGCTGCTAGGTAGCTCAGAGCCAAATTCATGAACCACTAATAGTTGAACCTTAAATCCTTAACGGCAGACATTTAGTGTACGTGGTTACATCTTGATTCCATCCTATTTCCTTAAGCTTAGTCTCTCTTCATCTCAAATTTTAAGACATGCATATGGGTTATTTAATCTTGGAACACCTTTCAGATCTTTGTAAGTCACCTTAACTTTTTTTTCTAAGATTAGGGTGAGGATATAAATGATTACTGCACGCTGGTTTCAAAGGTTTTGAAGCCTTTCAGACAGAAACCATCGTAGTGGAGTGTCTTTATGTACAGTGCCACTCCTTCTGGAACCCAGCTGATGTCTCGGGGACATCTTTGATATATTGTCCCTTTGCAGGGGTCTCTAAACCCACTGGCCCACCTTTTAATTGCAAATTACATTGTGAATTTATTGATTTTTCTTCTTAATATTTTTGGCCATGAAAACCGAATTATTTTGTGTTCCTCTCCAAGACTTGGGAGGTAAATTCCCTCCCTCATGGTAATGAAGTCCGAAAGAGAATTCATTTCCATCCCCTACAATACTGCTTTATGTTCAAAAATATCTTCGAGCTTTTAGAAATCTCTAATTGCTGAAAGATCTGTAGTTAACAACAAATCTCAAATATTTAGCTTCAGGGATTTAAAATTCCAACTACAATGATAACTAAGATAAAACAATTATTATCTGCAATAAACGATCCACAGCAATGTCTTTTAGAAGAATAGTTGGTGGGCGACTTTCACTTCCATGACTGGGGGTGGGGTTGAGAGCCTGAGGAACTCAGCCAGATGCAAGGGTGGAAAAGTGAACAGTCTAAATGAGGCGCTCATTTCTCAAGTCGGAAACACGGGAAACAGTCCTCTGGGACACCGGCTGCTCTTCCCAGTCATTTGCTGTAGGGCTCTTCATTTCTCTTCCGGGAGCATTTTTAAGCTCCTAGACAAGGTGAACATCCGCACGGGCCCTATTTTCCTCGTTTCTCCAAAGGCACAGGAAGTGAGGCAAACCTTTTCGGTGTGATCTGCATCATGTTCTTCTTTGTGCAAGTTCATATTTTGGTTGAAATGATAACCAATAAATATTTAACATTCTAAAAGCTGTGGCTTTCCAGCTCCAGCCATCCATCCGATGGGAGACAATGTTGCATGCATTAATTTACAGCCCACTTTCATTTCAAGTGGGTCGATAATATTTCATAAGGTAGGAAACCAGACGGCATGATTTTGGTGGAGAGAGGAAAAGGGCACAGCTTGGTTTATAGACCTAAAAACTAAATTCTGAGAGGGAGGATAGAAATTGTTTGGCACTCATCTTGTTTTTTGTTTTGTTTTTTTTCTTAATCGACATTTTCTTTTTTGTGAACTGAAGAAATTAACATTTTAAGAAGTGAAAGCTCTCTTGTGCTGATTTCCTCCCACTCCCCTTTCACACATGCACACACTCAGAAAGTAAGAGGGAGGGTGCTGCCCACAAAAGCTGGCCACAGCGTGTCCCTGCATTTGACCCAGTTGAGCAAAGGTGGTGTTTTGAAAAATGACCAACACTTGACATTTACATGATACTAAGTGATCTATTTGAATGTCATTATTTAAGCGATTGCTTTTCCAGCTTGCAGACAGTCTAATTCTCATCAATTTCACCTTTAATTTAGAAGACAAATGATAACCAATGAAAAGAAGAAGAAGAAAAAAGCCCACCACAGAGGCCTGTGTCCTTACGTCTCAGTGGGTTTTCATTCACAGTGTCTTCTGTAAATGAGATTTTGAATCAACCCCAAACTGACGTTGAGTGGAAATAGATTCTTCCGTTTTAGCTGGGACTGAGGAAAAATGGACGATGAATAAAATATCCTAATTACAAAAACCCTACAATGGGATCTGTTAAAATACATAAACATAAGTTCAATCATAGGAAAGTAATTGTTGTACATCTATATGCTAATGTGGGAACCAACTACTTTTACTCCAGATAATTCAGTGGTTATTGATTTTTTTTTATTATTTTTTTTATAGATTTTATTTATTTGTTTGACAGAGAGACATAGCGAGAACAGGAACACAAGCAGGGGGAGTGGGAGAGGGAGAAGCAGGCTCCCCGCAGAGCAGGGAGCCCAATGTGGGGCTCGATCCCATGACCCTGGGACCATGACCTGAGCCGAAGGCAGACGCTTAACGACTGAGCCACCCAGGCGCCCCGTGGTTATTGGTTTTTTATCTTATATGTTTAATAACATGCTCCTAAGTTCAAAAGAATCCAAATACCAATGTTCAGTGATTTTGGCCTTCGAAGACCTTTAGCAGTATAACTATCTTAGGCTCATGCATCACTGCCTGTGCCCCTGGTGAGGTCTGGGTGCTAAAAGCAGAAATCAAGGCTAGCAGCCCAGAGCAAACCGCCTGTGGGATTGACTCCTCTCTGCTTCCTTTCCTCCTGAAATGAAAGGCTCACATGAGGGCGTAATGGCAGCAGAAGCACCAAAGGAACAAAGGTAGGTCATGTACCCATGGTTAGGGTACACATGGACCCCAGGCTGGGCCTTGAGTCTGGGCCACTTTGTTTCCGGCATATACGAGGCCCAGATACCCCTGAAACTCCATTTTCCTTTCAGAGAACTGATAGGATTTGTTTGATGGCAAATGATTAAAACACCAGTTGGACAATGAAAAAACTGTCTTGTTCATGTAACTGAAGAGTCCAGTGGTAGGACTGATGCTGGGTCAGACTTGGTCCAGTGGCCCAGATGATGTCATCCAGGACCTTGTCACTGGTTTGCCTTTGGTGACACTGGCTTCATCCTCAGGCTGCAGTTTCTCATCTCATGGTAACAAAAGTGTTCTAGCCATTTCCAACTGCACGCCTTCATGACCTCTTCTCAAGGAGAAGGGAGAAGGTCTTCTGTTAGCTCCCGTGACTCTTGGGTCGTCCTTTCTCTCATATCCTGGGGAGGTAGGATATGCTGCTTGGCCTAAGCCAGTCATGGCCCACCCTGCAATAGGGAGCATGGTCACTCCCACCCACATGGAATGGGAATGGGGAGAATGGCTTCCCAAAAGGAAAATCAAAGTACCATCGAATGGGGGGCAATGGAGGCCACGGATGTAAACAAAAGGTATACACTACGACGACTTTGTAGCTTCTTGTTTAACTATGCCTTTTACCAAACATCTTGATTTTATTTCTTTTTGCCACAAAGTCACCTGAGGAAGTCAATGGTGACGTCAGTTCTGGTTGCAGGCTGGATGAAGACTCTGATGATCCTTTGATCTCCATCTCCCAAGTTCTGGCTCCGTGTCTCCAAAAGAAGGGGCTGGCCTGATGGCAGACACCTGGCACACAGGCCGCCACTTTCCCCTCTCGGTCCTACAGCAGACATCATCCATCAATCACAGGACTTTTTCCTGTGCAGGCCAGATGTGGCCCCAGAGACCTACATAAAACAGTCCTCCGGACAGCCTCTATGAATGTATTGGTGTTGACAAGTGAGATAAAACGTATTTGCCATCCCTGGAAAGGATTGCACACCAATGACCCAAACTATCAATGTATTTCACTCATACACCAAGAGCATTCACAAACACACATGCACAGGTTCCTACACCTCAGTGTTTCTCTAAATGTGGTTTGCAGATCTTTTGCATCAGAATCCCCTTGTGTTCTCATAAAATGTGAATTCCGGAGACTCACTCTAAAGCTACAAGATCAGAATATTCTCAAGATAACAGATTTAAATACTCAATAAGCTAGCAGATGCAATAGAATAATATGCTTCATTCCTACTAGGTCTCTGAGATATTGGCTCATTCTTTGTGTATTCTTTCAGCAGTTTCTTAAGCTACTGTGGGTAGGAACTGGGTTAGTTTCTGTGAATTCACTGAGAATGGTACAAATAAAAGACTCCTAGACTTCCTCAGAGAAACCCAGTGATGCTCTGTGGAAGGAGTTAACAGCCACCAGAGAAGACCAGGAATTTGGGAGTTCAGAGATGGGCAAGATCACTTCTATGTGAGGGGGCTAAAAAGCTAGAAAGTGTCGTGGAGGACTTGGTCCTGGAGCCTTTATTGGCTAAAAAGAGTTGGGGTATGGGATGAGGAGGGAAGAGCTGGGAGGAAAAATGGCAGTGGATGGAAGTGAGAATGTGTAGCAAGAGATCGTGAACAGTCATTTAATGCAAACTGGAGCTGAGAATGGGGGTCTGAGAAAAGAAGTTGGAAAGATAGGATTACGTTTTCATTAGGGAGGGTTTTGTGGGGCTGGCTTCAGTGTTTAGACTTTGTTTTGTAGCTGATGGAAGCTATTTTAAGCAAGGGTGTGATATGATACTAAGCCATGTCTAAGGACGTAACATTTGGAAACGAGGGAGGGGGGAGGAGTAGAGTGAGAAAGGCTGGAGCTTCCGGGTGGTGGAATGTTGTAACTGTGTGGGTGAGAGGCTGGGGGTCTTGGCAGAATCTTGGCAATAGAAATGGAGGGGAACAGGGGTGCCTGGGTGGCTCAGTCGTTAAGCGTCTGCCTTCGGCTCAGGTCATGGTCCCAGGGTCCTGGGATCGAGCCCCGCATCGGGCTCCCTGCTCAGCGGGAAGCCTGCTTCTCCCTCTCCCGCTCCCCCTGCGTGTGTTCCCTCTCTCACTGTGTCTCTCTCTGGCAAATAAATAAATAAAATTAAAAAAAAAAAAGAAATGGAGGGGAACAGATGTGAGAGCCACTGAGGAAGCAGAACCATAGGCCTTGTTGGTTTGACAGTTTGGCCAGACTTTCAAAGGCATATTAGTTAGGATATGCTGGGTCATGCTGCAATAACAAATTAATCTTGAAATCTCTGTTTTTAACATAACGAAATTTTACTTACCTCGTGTTTTACATCCAAGACTGATTGGCAGGGGGCTCGATTGTACTCAGTCACTCAGGGACCCAGGTTGAAAGAGGCTCTGTTATCTTTCAGCTGCACTACGGAGCATGTGGCCTCCTGAATGCTAAAGAAGAGGAAGAGACAGATGCAGACAGAGCAAAGACCTTTAACTGATCTGACATCAACATCACTTCCACTCAGAGTCTGTTGCCCTAAACTAATCACATCTAACTAAGTATCTATAAAGGAGGCTGGGAAAGTAGGGGAAAACGTGGACTATTTGGTGAGCCTTCCATTTTTTAGTTATAATAGGGCAATTTCTGCATTTCACCCAGAGGCAGAAATCAAGAAATCACATACCTGAGTTGCCCCTAGAACATGGAGGTAAATTGGTAGGAGGAAGAGACTGGAGAATAATTTTTGTAACATAACCAGTCACTTTTAGAGGTGATATTACAATTCCAGGCACAAGGGGTGGTATGCTTTCAACCCAAGTGGTTCTACCTTAGAGGTTTAGGCTTTAAAAGTTAGTCAAAAGAGTCCCTGACTGTGACTATCTGTAGTAGTGAACACACCTCATGTAAGGCAAGCAGAAACCAGGTCATGTACATGCATACACATACATACACATACACCCTTGGGTTTTAATGAAGATAGATAGATAGAGAGATAGATAGATAGATATACATACATAGAGAGAGATTTTAAGGATTTTATTTTTAAGTAATCTCTACACCCAACATGGGGCTCAAATTCATGACCCTGAGATGAAGAGTTGCATGCTCTTCCAACTGAGCCAGCCAGGTGTCCCTAATGTATAAAACAAAAACAAAATCCCCAAATCCAAATATATTTATCTTCCTCAACAACCTCAGAGGTTTTTAGAAATAAAAATATTTTTATGGAGTGAGAAGTCTTCTGAGAACCCCCACTAACTATTTTGAAAGTCTTCCTTCTGAGTCTTGAACACCCTTCCCTCCAAAAGAATCTGGGCTGCTGTCAGACAAACACACTGATGCAGGCAGCAAGTAATCACTCTGTGCCCACCAAGTCCCAAGCATTCCTCTAGGCCCTGGGGATGCCACCTTTCTGGAACTTATGTTTAGTTGGGGAGAAATATATTTAGTCGGTACACAATTAGAACTTTAACCAGGACTTCATACTCCAAACTCTTTGCACTAACATGTCATGTTTATTCTTCAAATGAAATCTTCCAGCTTTCTATCACTGCCACCTCCTGAAGAACTAGCTCCTTCCCAAGCCTCCTTGAAAAACCCTAACAAGCCCAAACTTATTGGGTGGCATAAGGGGGGGTCTGGTGCTAGGGGGAGATGAAGATGAATAAGGCTTTCTCTTTGCTTTCAGAGGGGCTTCTGGTCTATTTCTTGGGTGCCAATCTATCTTTTTCTGATGTGCCCCCCAGTTTTCACAAAATTTCAGGCCAATGCTAGAGCGCCTGAGCTATCATGACTGCACCATGGCCAGGCAAGAGAAGAGCTCTTTTTGCCCACCTTTATGAAGGGCAGGAAGATATTCAGGAAGAGGATGGGGGTACTTTCCACCCCTGCACTCCAGACAGACCGGTTAACCAAAAAAAAAAAAAAAAAAAAAAATCTGGTTCCAGAGCGAATCGAAAGCCATCTTCTTTTTGCTCCTAGGGACAGCGGCTCTACCAGAAACTACTTGGAATCGTTGGGGCAGAAAATAGAAGGCTCTTTGGGAACATAGTGCCTCTGATCCCACTCCTTTTATGCCCCAGGAAAAGAAAAGAGGCCCATGTGAAAACCCCTCCTGGGGCTTCCCAACCAGTTAAACATGAGGGAGAGGAGAAAAGGGGAAAAAATTCTAAATAAAAGCAAAGTCTTTGAAAAACTTCAAAGAAACATTTCTCCTGTTCAGAAGTCAAGAGCACATCTGGCTGGCGGTGAAAAGAGAAGTGGTGTCATCTGGGCAAAAATGTTCTTTTCAAATATGTCCTTTAAGAAAAGCAAGAAAGGAGAGTGCAAGAGATTGAGAGGAGAGGAATAATGCAAAGAGGGAAGGGAAGTTAAAGGGAAAGAAAAAGAAAAAAGGGAAAAAACCTCCTAAATCTTGTAATGTTTTAGGAGGGCTTATTAGAGTGAAAATTAAGTGTCATACAGAGCTCTGCTCCAGTATTGATGGCCTTTATTCAAAGAGCCATCACCCTGTAAACTCACTTTAACAACTCCCTTCAGATGAAATATAAAAATTAAAGACATTTACAACACAGCTTAGTAGCAGATGTAGTCGTCCTATTGGGGCTTAGATCAAATAGTGATGTAAACCCCAGCAGGATAACAGGTCTTATGAAAAAGTCCTTAACAACAGCCCCCAAAAATCTTGGAAATCTTACAAAACATGTTTCCCATTCTCTCCCAACCTCAAGGGTCCCCCTCCTTCCCCCAGCCCCTCCCGTGATCTGCTAGACTCCTTTTCCATCGTCATCCTTGTCTGGAGTTCTTATGAGTCACTCTACACTTAGCAACTGGACCAAAAAAAAAAAAAAATCTGGTTGGGCTTCTGGTTATCTTCTCCATCTAGTCATCTGCCTCCATCATTACCTGGGGCAGTGCCAGGGTGAGGGATGTGCTGAGCAGTCTGAGAAAAAGACTGATATGTACATATAGCTCAAATGAAGATTGAGGTCTGACCTTCACCTTGGTCTGTTCTTCCCCATTTGCGTCTCCTTCTTCTTCAGCTCTCATTTTTCCACCTAGAGGAACCCGAAAAGAGATTTCCAATTTGATTTAGAGGCTGGGTCCTCACTAGTATGGGAAACATTTATATCTGTTATATTGTAACGACCGCAGGTGGGGGCCTTCTCCCCAGTCTACCCTTTCTAAAGAAGCCTTTCTTTTTTTTTTTTATTCTTATGTTAATCCCCATACATTACATCATTAGTTTTAGATGAAGTGTTCCATGATTCATTGTTTGTGCATAACACCCAGTGCTCCATGCAGAATGTGCCCTCCTCAATACCCACCACCAGGCTAACCCATCCTCCCACCCCTCTCCCCTCTAGAACCCTCAGTTTGTTTTTCAGAGTCCATCGTCTCTCATGGTTCGTCTACCCCTCCGATTTCCCCCGCTTCATTCTTCCCCTCCCACTACAAGAAGCCTTTCTTGAGGATTTATTCTGGGAGCCATCTTCATCCATCCACCCACACCACGCACCCATTCACGCGCTCATTCATTATTTTAAAAAGTACATTCGTGTGTCTATGACATGCCAGGCACTGGGAAGGTGCTGGAGGCATGGACATGATCATCCTGTTGGTTATGGTTCTTTTTGTCCTTGAGCTGACATGTCCATGGACTGGCTTTGGAAAGAGAAAAAGCTTAGAGAATGAAAGTGGAGAGGTATAAGTAAGATCTATGTGAGAATTTCTGGTTGTTAGGTTCAGTTTTTCTGTGCCCCCAACTCTTAAAAATGAAGCCAATGACCTTTCTTGTCCCCACCACAGTGTATGGAAGGAGTCAGGTTGCCCTTTAGGCCCAGGGGCTTGTCCCCAGACTCCTCTTTCCTGGCAGATGATCACTTAGCCAGTGATTTGGGAGTGATGATGTTAGATCTTTGGCCACAGCTTGGCCCTTAGACCAGACAGAGGCCAAGAGGCTGGAAAATAAAGAAGAATCTAAAGGGCCTTGATGAAAAAGAGCAAATCCTGACCCTGTAATGAGCTCTACTCTGAGGATAGGTCAAGGCCCCGCTTCATTGGAAGCAACCTGATAAGAAAACCAAAATAAAGTGTTATCACCTCAGCTGGCTGAACCAAGGCCAGTGAGAAAATTGTCCTAGGGAGCCCTGAAAGCAGTAAATGAGAAGCTAGCTTGGATGTCACATGGAGCTTAAGAAGGTTGGAGACATTCCAGGGCTAAGTGGGGGCCTTCTAAGGTCATGCAGTCTACAGTTTTCCAACACCCAAGCCAACATTTACAGCTTGAACTCATGCCCTCCCTGCCCTCCTCTCTTTTGCTTTACCCAAGAGATCTGCAATATGATTGGGTTGCAAATTTTGTCTGGTCCATCCCCATACCTCCCAGCAGGCTTGGCTGGATTTTGTTTCACACATGGTCTAATCTGAAAACAAACACTGGAAATCAGCTGGTAGGGTGGGAGGCCATGTTGATATGACCAATGATCAAGGAAAGTTCCCTCTCTGGATCCCTGCAAGGAATGACTTCAAAGGTACTTTCCTCACACTCACTAAGTATCCTCCTACTCACACACATACTCCACACCTACAGACAGCCACAGTCCCAGTGGATGACTTTGCTATGCTCTGGGCCATTTGGTCATAGAGGAGGCAGCCTTTACCTCCACTAATGCAAGGTCAAGTCTGTGAAGAGAATGTGTGCTTATGTAAAGAACCAAAGAAGATAATAGTTGCAGCCTATGTCACAGGCATGGACTAATCTTCGATTAAATAATGATATTCAGATGACATTTCTTGGCAACTGGCAAACCAGCTGGAAAAATAAGTCAAAATTTCCACAGAGAATAGACTGTTTTGCCATCCAAAGCTGGCCAAGTACAAACAACAAAGGTTCTAAATACATGTGAATAAAAGGTCCCAGCTCTCTGGCTTGCAAAGGGGCTCCCTTTTCTCCTCACAGAACTGCACATATGAGCGTGCACATATGTGTAAAGTGCACATGTGAATTTAATATCTGCTGCATCCAATTGTCTGTCCTCTTCCTCCTGGGTATTCTGACCCTAGAAACTTCCTAGTCCAGCTTTTCATTTTTCAGATGAGGAGACAGAAATCCGAAGAGCTGAAGAGCTTGAAGGACTTGCCCAAGGCTACACAGCAAGCCAGGAGTCTTGACTCTCATTCCAGTGCTCTTTTGAGTACAGTCTGACCTCCACAGAGCTGATTGGTGGAATCTGTAAGCACCCATCATGGGATGCATGCATGTGTGCAAGAATCAGCGTCATTGGGCTGATGTCCTAAAGGTACGTGTGTATGACATGACCTGATGGGAAAACTCCAGCTTGGACCTAGTCTAATGTCCGAATCCCAAAAGAGAATGGTGGAGGCCCTGATGCAGGGACTATTTACACAGAGGCTGGTGGAGTCAAGGGAAGCTGACAAGGGATGGGGCAGAAACCCATGTGCAACAGTAGAGAGCTCTTCTGGTCCTTAGACCAGAAGGAGGCCAGTAGAGGGAGAAGTTTCCCAAACCCAAAGAGAGGTTGGGTTGCTCTCTTGGTTGGGGGGCTCAGTCAACCAAGGTAGCCTGCCTGGCGGAAGCTGCGAATCGATACTGTGACCTCCCCCTTCCCCATTCTCTCAACTCCTACTTGTGCCTCCCGTTGCATGAAGCCAACAGGAGCTAAAGGCAGGGGGGCCAGGATGTGGGCCATAAGTTGGGCCTCCCTGTGGAAGAGAGTGGTGATTGGGTCTAGAGGAGCAAATAGAATATCCTGCATGTCTGGGTTCAAATCTCAAGTAGCTTTGCTACTTACCATGCTGTGACTTGGGATAAGTGACACAATCTGCCCTTGGATTCCTCGTCTGTGAGATGGTTATAATGCCACCCACCTTGAGAGGTGAAGTGACTGGTAGGGTTGCTGTACGTGCAGCTCTGAGCTCAGTGCCCATCACTCCTGGTGCAGTTTTCTCTCCTCTCAGGAACACCAGAGGCTCCTGGACAATTTAGCAATAGAAACCCGAAGCCTTACACTTTTGCAGACCTTCTGATCCAGCAATTCTGCTTCTAGGAATTAGTTTCAAGGAACGAATCTGGCCCATGCACAAATTTATAATGCTTTTTGCCACCCCGCTACTTAAAATGTGAAAATTGGGAGCAGATTTACTGTCTATATCCATCAGGACTCCTAGATGCAAACAACAGAAACGGATTCTGGATGAGTTAAGCAGAAAAGGAATTTATCGAAGTAATACGGGATGACTCACAATTGCCAGAAGAGGCCAGGTTGCCTTGGTGGTTGAAAACAATTAGCCTTCTCCTCTTGCACACTCAAGTTCGTGGCTGATAATTTGTGAGCAGCAATGTATAAACCATGCCCCAGACACCCAGTGTTCATACCAAATTGTGTGGCAAACCATCTTGTCCCTACCACCCGAAGTCATGTTTCGTAGGCAAATTCCAGATGCACCAGTAGAATGAGGGAGATGTGCTTGGTAGCAGCACTTGTGGAAAAGACTTGAAGAGGTTGGTCACCAGCAAGCTCCACACCAAGCCCAGACTGAGGTTCTTAAAGGAGCCAGTCAGCCCACTCCAGTTCACAAAGGCAGTCACAGATAGACTACAGTGATCGTGGGGGAAAGTGGACCCAATGCTGGTACTTTGACCCCAACCTGCCTGTGCCTAGAATGTTGATGCCCAGGTTCCTTTTACTGGGCCTGTTTGCCCACCCAGATGCTCTGTGGGCTATTGACAGCTCACAGCTGCCCACCTTCTCCACTGAGTTGACTGAGGGTGTGCCTTGCCTGGGCAAGTTTTCTTCATCCTCTGACCCCAAGGATCTGGCAAAAGCCAGACTTTTCTCCTCTCTTTTCCTTCTTTAATTTTCCTTCCTCTCTCCCTTATCAGTTTTCCTTGAGGAGCACCACCCCCTTGATAAATCAGCTGTACTCAATCCTTATCGCAAGCTCTGCTCCTAGGAAAACGGGCCGAAGTCATTGTCTGACTTAGATTTATGCCTGGCCTTGAATTCCATCAAGGGATTTGTGCTTGGGGCCTGGTTTCTGCCCTCATTTGGCTCCCAGGCCCTGCTGTCACCAAGCCCAGCGTGATAGTGAAGGAGAAAAGGCTTACAGTGCTGTGGGAAGGATAGACATTCATGCAGGGGTGCGATTTTGTTTTGGTCCTCTCACAGAGGAGCCAGATCTCAAATGATCAGACTGGGGTGCCTCTCTCTCTCGTGACCCCCCAGCACCCCGTGTCTACCTCTATTGTCACATACACCAATCACACTGTTGTTTTTTTTTTATAATACTCTGCTTTCTTGTCTTTCTCCCCGATGAGCCTGAGCTCTAGAGCGAGGAAAGTCTCAAACTCAGAAATGGAAGTGATTGTCATTATCATTGACAGGCACACAGGTAATCTTCGTCAAGCGAAAGCAAGAATCGTCAGAGGACAGGTCTCCCCCAACTCAGGGGGTCAGTACTGATCTTTGGGGAGAGGGGATTTACCCCCAAAGCCAGGCTTGGTTATCAGAGTGGCCCATAGATGAGCTTGGGCTGAGAAATGAATGAGCGCAGATTCTCATTACCTACAAGTCATTAAGTTAGGATTAGAAAAAAGGGAGAGAGGAAGGCATGAACATTTGTAAAGGGATACAACATCTGTATTCGGCCGTGCACAGCTACCACACTGGCCCACGGGGCCACCTTTAATGAACAGCATATGTTATGGTTTCTGCAGAGCATATTGTATACCTGCTTTGTGCAAAGTGTTACACAACACAAAGGCGATTTCCGTTGAGGTCCCTGCCCCCAAGGACCTCACAGTTTCAAAGTAAACAGGCGGTTATAGAATGGATAATATTTATTGAGTGTTCACTATGTAACAGGCGTGGTTCGAGACACTTCACATGTATTAATTCATTTAATTCTCCCTGCAACTGTCCGAGATAGGTAATCCTACAAGGGTAAAAACTGAGGCTCAGAGAGGTTTATTAACTTGCCCAAGAAAAGAGCTCCAGAGTGGGAGAGCCAGGATTTGAACCCACACCCTTTTAGCTCCAGAGCCCCTGAGCACTCAAACCCAGCGAATGCTCTGGGCCATTTAGTCAAGAGGAGGCAGTATTTACCTCCAGAATGAGGAGTGCTGCAAAGAGAAGTGACTGAATTACCACAACAAGCCCACTCTTCTTACAGAAAACCTTTACTAATGTCCTACTGGCTCACCCAAATCACTGCGTCCAAAATGAAAAGCGTGCATCCTTTCCCTTGATCGTCTGCCCCTTATCCTCGTCCTTCTGGCCAACCATGTCTCTATCAATGATCTCAATCCAGGATCTCAGAGCTGTCCTCCATCCTTCCTTCTCCCATGTCACCTGTCACGTCTACCTGCTTGCTAGGTCTGCTGGATTCCACATCAGGTAGAACTCCATAACTCAGCCCCTTGTCCCCACGCTCCCGGCCCCCAATTGCTGGGATCACTGCAGTGTCTCCGGCAGCTTCCCGACCGCCGCTCCTTCCCCCTGTCGATGCCCGTCTTACTAATGCCTCCTCACACGGCCCACCCCGGCCACTCTGCAAGCCTCCGGGAAGTGACTCGGACTCTGGTCCAATCCATCCCGGAGGCCAGGGCTCTGCCTTTTTAAGAGTAATTCTGGCCGGGACTAGGAAGTGACTCACCCCAGCTTCCCCCCAGGGCAGGGCAAGAGAGGCCCAGCTGTATGCACCAGAAAGCACACTACTTCGCAAACAGTTCATTCCCATGTGACTCACCTGGGAATCCTGGTGAAGCGCAGAGTCTGATTCAGTAGGTCTGGGGTAGGGCCTGAGAGTCAGCATTTCTGAGGAGTTCCCAGGGGAGGCGGCTGCTGCTGGCCCCCAGACCTTAGTTTGAACAGCAGGTACTAAAGGGCAGTGTTAGGGGTGACAGTAGGGCTGTCTCCAGCCACAATCTTAGGCCAGGACAAGCAGAGCTAGAGACAAAATCAGCCCCGGAAAGCTTTATCGAGCATGTGCACTAGGCCAGATGCCAGGCCACGTGCTACTGAAAGGCCAGGGGAGCTGGCATGGCGGGGCTCCTGACGTACGTTCTCTCTAGTTCTTTTTTTTTTTTTTTTTAAGATTTTATTCTACATATCAGTGAGATCATATGATAATTGTCTTTCTCTAAATGACTTATTTCGCTTAGCATAATACTCTCTAGTTCTTTTTTTTTTTTTTT